TAGTGTGTTCCTCCTTGGGTCCAATTTCTTTGGGACTCTCTGAGCTTCCTGGACTTCCTGGAAGTCTATTTCCTTTGACAGATTGGGGAAGTCTTCCTTCATCATTTTTTCATATAAGTTTTCAATTTCTTGGTCTCCCTCTTCTCCTTCTGGCACCCTTGTGATTTGGATGTTAGAATGTTTAATGTTGTCCCTCTCCTCATTTTTTGAATTCTTGTTTCTTCATTCTGTTCTGGTTGAATGTTTATTTCTTCCTTCTGCTTGAAATTGTTGACTTGAGTCCTAGCTTCCTTCCCTTCACTGTTGGTTCCCTGTATATTTTGCTTTATTTCACTTTGCATAGCCCTCACTTTTTCCTCTATTTTGCATCTGTACTCAACCATTTCTGTGAGCATCCTGATTATCAGTATTTTGAACTCTGCATCTGATAGGTTGGCTATCTCCTCCTTGCTTAGTTCTATTTTTGGAGTTTTGATCTGTTCTTTCATTTGGGTCATATTTCTTTGTCTCAGCCTTTTATGTTGAAAGGGGCAAAGCCTTAGGTATTCACCAGGGCAGGGCAACTGAGGTCGCTGCCTTGTGACACTAGCTGTGGGGGAGGGGTCCGGGAGGGAATGTTATGGCTTGCTTAGCTCTCGTCCCACTTTCAGTCATTTCCCCTCTACCTGCAAGCAAATTGGGCACTTTTGGTGCTCACTCCTTAGTGGGTGGGTTTGTGTACATTCAAGGACCCCATGGGTCTCTCCAATGAACTCTCCTGTGAGGCTGGGAGTTTCTCCTGCTGCCGCAACCCCCACAGGTTTTTACAACCAGGGGTTTTGAGGCTTTAGTTTCCTGCACTGGAACCCCGGGTTGTATGATCTGCCTTGCTCTTCAGTTGTTCTTTCCAGCTTATGCATGTGTGAATGTGGGACCGCCCAGTCCTCCAGCCGCCGCCTCGCCCTCCTGGTCTTCCAGCTGCTGCCTTGCCACAAGTCCTCTCTGCCCCGGCTGCCCATCTCTGCCCCTCCCACCAGTCTGTTTCTTCTTTAACTCTTTGGTTGGACTTCTATACAGTTTGATTTTCTGGCAGTTGTGGTTGTTTTTTGTTTTTGAATTTGTTGTTGTCCTTTGCTGGTTGTGTGAGGAAGCAAAGCATATATACCTACAGCTTCAACTTGGCCGTACGTCTCATCAGAGTTTTCTAATCTTAGCCCTTTGACCAACTGCTTTACAACAAGCTGCTTAATCTTTCATTTGTTCCCCACTCCCCTCAGGAAAAATGTGTTTTTTATTTTTATTTATTTTATTTATTATTGTTCACCTGCCTTTTTCCTCATTGCTCACCTCTATCCCATCCCCCCTCACTCCCACAGTCAATCTGCCCCTATTGTCTGTGCCCCTGAGTCCTCTGTTCCTGTTCCTTGGCTTGACCCTTCCCCTTCTTTCTCCTGTTTTCCCCCTCCCCACTCCCCTCTGGCCACTGTCAGTTTGTTCTCTGTTTCCATGCCTCTGGTTCTATTTTGCTCACTTGTTTCTTTTGTCGATAAGGTTCCACTTGAGGTGAGATCACATGGTATTTGTCTTTTACTGCCTGGCTTATTTCACTTAGCATAATGCTCTCCAGTTCCATCCATGCTTTCACGAAGGGTAGGCATTCCTTCTTTCTTTCTGCTGTGTAGTATTCCATTGTGTACATGTACCACAGTTCTTCAATCCACTCATGTACTGATGGGCACTTAGGCTGTTTCCAGCACTTGGCTGTTGTAAATAACACTGCTGTGAACATTGGTGTGCATAGGTTCTTTTGAATTGGCATTTCAGGATTCTTAGGGTATAATCCCAGCAGTGGAATTGCCTGTGCAAAAGGCAGTTCCATTTTTAGTTTTTTGAGGAAATTCTATACTGTTTTTTATAGCATCTGCACCGGTCTGCATTCCCACCAACAGTGTAATGGAGTTCCCTTTAATCCACAACCCTGCCAGCACTTGTTGTAAAACGAGGTATATTCAAAGAAGCTTAGCTTCTCTGTCTTTTCCCTCTACTCTGTTCCTCCTTGTAAGTAACCATTTGTCTTAGTTTTTGGTTTTCTTTCCATTGTTTCTGTCAGGAAATATAAGCAAATGCATAAAAACATTCATGTCTCCTTCTTACTGTAAAAGTAGCATATTCTCACCTAGCTTTTTTCCACTTAACAGTATTTCCTGGACTTCAGCTTCATAGTGTTACGTAGTGAACCTCATCATTTCTTAGTATAGCTGCATAGTAACCATGAAAAAGAGAATGGGGTGCTCCAATAAAGTAATGCTCACAGAGTAAGAAAGAGCACTTGGAAAAATCAAAGTATGGTATCATAAATAAAAAACTCTTTAAAAAGAATCATAAGATAAAGTTGAAGAAATCTCAACTTCAGGAGATAAATCATTTGAAAATTAGGGGTCTACTCTATCACAGGGACAATCCTGGAAGTTCAATATTGGAATAAGAGGATTTCCAAAAAGGCAATATAGGAAAAATTGAGGAGAAGAAATAACCAACAAAATTTTTCAAGATCATTTCCCAGAACTAAAGAGCTTGAGTTTTGAGAATGAAAGAACCCACTGAAACACCGTGGAGTGGATGCTTGAGCCCATAGAAAAGCACATTGTTATGTATTTTTGAAATATTTGGAGAGAAAAAGAAGCTATTTCAGGCTTCCAAAGATTAAAAACAAAAACAAAAACCCAGAGAGGTCACATAAAATGGGTAATTGGATGTTTTCAGAATTCTCAATAGCAGTGCTAGGAATTAGTGGTCACTGGAGTAAAAGCTTCAAAATCCTGAAGGAAAATTATTTTCAACCTAGAATTTTATACCCAGACAAACTATATGGAGGGTGAAGACCAGCACGCCTAATTTTTTTATTTTTACCTGATGATGCATAAAATGGGGCGGCGGGTGTGTGTGTGCAGAAACGATAACAAGAAGAAGTAGCAGTGTTATTTAGAGACTCTACCATAACCATCAACTGATCAGTTAACAGAGATAAAAGTTGCTTCTGGGGAGGAAGTCATGTGTGAGGGGCAACTGCTCCTTTAACTGTAAGAATACATAATTTTGATAAAAATATCAGAAAGTAAAGAAACAGTTTTTAAAAAGAAAGACGTGACTGTCTTGATTACCGCTTTGAGTTAATGTGACTGCTTGGAGGACTATGATGAAAGATAATGAGGAAGGAGAATGAAAAAAAGATTCTGAGATGCTTATGTGGGAACCTGGCTAGGGCTTCTGGAATCAGACTCCTTCCAGGTGGCCAAAAAGAAGAGATACACTAGAAGAGGTGGCATGGGCCTTCCCTAAATACAGAACTGGGAGATGCTGGGAAAAACATTGGAGAAAGGATATGTAAAGTCTCCTAAAAGTGTAAGTATCAATGCTGTCTGGGAAATAGCAAGTATCTCCAATTATTTGAAGACTAGGAGTTTCTCCCCGATTTTGCATGTTATAATCATCCGAGGAGCTTTTAAAAATCCCCATATTATTCCCCATGTCCATGTCATGCTCCATAGCAATTCAATCAGACCATCTGGAATTATGAGCAAGATATCAGTAACTTTAAAAGAACCTCAGGTGATTCCAGTGTTCAGCCGAGTTTGGGAACCACTGGAACACAGTGTTCGCGTTAGGAGGCTAAGCCTGGAAGGGTAGGATCACTTGCTGCACACCTGAAATGCCCAGCTACCTAGTCTGGTCTCTAAGAGGCAATGGGATGCCTCTGAAGGCGTTTGAACTGCAAGGGATGCACAGCGTGGTTGGGGAAGACGAACACAGAAGAAATGGGAGGAGGTGAGGCTTCATAGGTACAGAGAGCACTAGCTGGGCTGAGAGGCTAGTTCTTGACTCAGTGTAAGCAGCGCAGACAAGCACGCAGCTGCGTGCACTGTGTTCACCGTCCTAAACCCTCTCAGAGGAAACTACTGTTTTCTCAAGCTCCATGGTGTCTTCTGCGCCAGAGGGCCTGGCGTGGTGGTTCCTCCGAAGGAAGCCGGAACCACCAGGAGGCAGTGTGGGCTAGAGCCTTGCCTCGCTGTCTGATGGGACCAAGTCCCTGGTGTCCAGGAAAAGGATTCCCAAGGAAACTGAGGACCCAGCAGGGGCAGTGAGCAAGAGGGTGGGCCGGTTCCAGTGCCAGATCGACGCCGAAGTGGCAGCCTGAAGTTGGCCTGAGCGTCCGCCAGCTCAGTATCCATACTGCCCTTCCAGGCGGTTCCTTGCAGGTCCCTGCCTGTGCTAAGAGGCGCCCTCCACGGTGGGCGCCGCCGTGAACACCGCTGTCAGCGTCAAGAAGTCTGAGGCCTCGCTAGCCTCTTCCACCTGAATCCCCAGCGTCCCAAGAACTGAGGATCGAGCTCAGAGTAAGTATTTCGTATCCAGCGAAGGGCTGACTGAGAGCGACAGGAAATGGGAGCTAAAGGGCCAGGCTCAGTAACCCGTAGTTTCTTTGTAGGAGGGGACTTGGGGAAGGAGAGACGAGTCCAGGCCCTTGTGTTCACCGTGGTCTCCATTTCTGTGGCCATCGCGGCGGCCGGGCCAGGGTGAACAGAGTTCCCCTGAAGACCAAAAACGTACCAGAGGGGGTGTGTGTGTGTGCTCAATCCCCCGTGGTGACCGGCCCGAGGCACCCGATTTCAAAGGCGATGGACAGCCACTCCACGGGAGCCCTCACACATGCTCCATGGGAGACGTCGAAACGCCTCTTTTGAACACTGGCAAACACCCCCTCCCACCCAGCGGCGACGGGCACGTGACAGTCTTCGGGCTCTTGCAACTACGTGGAAACTTGGAATAGGTCTGCGGCTGCACACAGCTGGCCGCCGGGGTCCCCGCACCCCGCCCTGCTCGTCACGGCTTGGGCGCCGCGCCACCTGGAGCAGGGGCCCCGCGCGGCCGCTGCACCGCGCCGCCCCTGCCCAGCGCCGCGGCTTTCGGGCTTCCGCACCGCCCGCCGCGCCCTGCCCGTGGGGAAGCAGCTCCCGAGGCGGAGGCAGCGGCGGCGGCCCCGGCTCGGGCCCTCAGGCCCCAGCCATGTGGGACCCGAGGGCAATTAGGTGCGTACGCGGCGCGGGAAGTGCGGGGGAGCCACCGGCCTTCCGGGCCCCGCGCCTCTTGCTGGCGGGAAGCGGCCGCGCGCCGGGGCTGGCGACCCCAAAGGCAGAGGCCGAGCTGGCCATCCCCTTGGGTCCCGCGCTCATCCAGGTGCAGACCCGGGCCTGTCGCACGGGGTCGGGCGGGGGGGCGGCTCCAGCCTTCCGGGCCCCGGGGGACCAGGGCGCGCGCTGCGACAGAGACTGCGGTGGCGCGCGGCCTGCCTCCTCCCCAGCCCGGGACCGAACCTGCGGCTCCGGGGCGCACCTCCCACCTCCTGCGGGGGACCTTGGGGCACCAGCTCGTTTTGATGAGAAGACTTGCAGACGCGCCCCCGGGCACGCACTCAGGCTGGCCGGCGCCCGAGATTGGGGCGGGATTTCGGGGAACTTGGAGAGTGGCCGCTTTTCGGCAGCGGGAGGTTTGCGATTCCAGCCCCGGGAAGGCCTCTTGCCCAGCCCTCCCGATCGTGAGCAGGGCTTGCCCGAAAGAGGCTGCACCGTCCACGGTTTTCAGCTAAATGATCCTAGGGCGGGGGTGCAGCAGGAGCCCAAGGCCAAGAAGGGGAGTCCCCAGAAGCCCAGGCTATTGCTTTCGATCGTTTTCAAACGTGGTCTCGGAGCTGGTAGCCTGGGGGACACACTCCGCCCCACCCCCCACCCCTCGCTGGCGCGCACTCACAGGAAGCCCTGAGCATTTGCAGCGCGGCTGAAATAGTGCCTATCTTTCTGCGTGAGGGCGGGCCAGCCCCCTTCTCAGTTGGGGTTGTTTCTGAGAGGCAGCAAGCTTTGGTGCTTTTTGGTGCACATTTTTCAGGAGATGGGCAATTTGAATAATAAAGAAAATAATTTTTAAAAGAGGAGAGAGAAAGGGGGCCCCAGGATGTCTAGTCCCAGCCCACTTGCTATTAGCTCAATCAATACTTAGCTGGAAGAAATATCAGGGAGCCAAGGACCTTGCACGCCCAGCACCCAGGTTCTCCCTACGTTGAACCTCCCAGGTGGCAGGCACCTTTCGTAGGCAAGGTTGTTACACAGATGGCTTGGTCTTTTGTTGAGCATCCTGTTTTGAACCTGATAGGAAGTTCTACCACCTTGAAGGAGAGTGAGAAGTTTGTTTCAAGTGTTTGCCAGCGAGCAATGTTTTGTGGAGTTGCAGGACGGGTGCTTGGGTTCTCAGCATCCTTTGCTGGACCTTGCATCCTCCACGGGGATGGTGGTCGGGTCCAGGGGTGTGGCATTCATCCCCGGAGTCAGACGGCGCTCCCTCAGGCCTGTGGGTTTCTCAGTCCCCTTTTGACCAAGACTAGCAATAGAGGCCACATACACATATAAGTATAAAACTCAACAAGAGCTTCACAGTATACCTATTCTCTCTTCAGGATGAGGCACAGTAATTTTCTGTTGTGTTGTGTTGTTTTGTTTGTTTTTAAAGCTAGTCATAATCCATTAGCTTGAGGCCTCCAGGGGTGTCCATCCTTTTGGCGTCTCTGGCCGACACTGGAAGAAGAAGAATTGTCTTGGGCCACACAGTAAATACACAAACACTAATGAAAACTGATGAGCAAAAAAAAAAAAAAAAAAAAAAAAAAAAGGTTTTAAGTAAATTTACGATTTTGTGTTGGGCTGCATTCATAGCCATCCAGGGTCACCGGTTGGACACCCCTGGAACCGGTGTAGGTGGCGATTGTAGGCTCTCTTTGGGACATCTCCAGAGAGACTGAGGAGACATCAGCCTTTCCCTGGGAAGGAACTTCAGAAGGGAGGAGATGGTGTCTTGGGATGGAGGCTGATATTCATAGTTAAATAGGGGAATTCCAGCTCAAGTAATGAGACCACCACAGGACGTCGCTGTGCAGTTCCTACCAGTAGCGGCTGCAAAACCAGGCTTGGGGGGTGCCTCAGGTTACTGTGGTCATCTGCCCACACCGACCTGCCTGCTTGCCATGAGCCCAGTGGGGCCTTGTGTGAATGCTGGGTGTTGGGGGTGGAGGGTGGGGGAAAGAATAATGATTCCTTGCTGTTGTGCCTTTCTTTCCCTCCCTCCCTCCCTCCCTCCCTCCCTCCCTCCCTTCCTTCCTTCCTTCCGTCTGTCCGTCCTTCCTTCCTTCCTTCCTTCCTTCCTTCCGTCCTTCCTTCCTTCCTTCCTTCCTTCCTTCCTTCCTTCCTTCCTTTTTTGAAGAAGAAGGAAGGGAAGTGCTGCAAGGCTGCCGCAAACTCTGGATTCATAAATTGGAAAGGAGATTCTTTAAGTCTCTGCTCAGAATTTCACACCTGCAGTGTCAGGAGCCAGCCCATGAACATTTTATGCATGAAGAAACTGAGGCTTGTCTCCTGTTAGTCACTAGTAATGCAAGGGGATCCGGCATTAGATGCTGGTCTCCTTGACTTCCTAGCCCATGGCCCTGAGGGACCAAATAGAGACTCTGCCCTTGTGGGATTCTTAAACTTCTCTTTGCTGATCTCTTTTCCTGTGGCTGACACCAAAGGCCCATTACTGTGGTATAGTCCTTCTTATTATTTTAGTTTTGTTTCTTGGGATGAAGTTTCTTTCAGCAGTCAAGCAGAGCCTGCAAGCCCCATGTTTGGGTGGGGTAGATAAAGCGATCCCCAGGATGTTTTTAAGAACTGAAGTGGAGGTTGGGGTGTGGGCCTCCGGCCTTTGTCACGGAAGAGTGTAGCATTGTTTTAATTGACCTTGAGGAATAAGTTGTTCTCTGCCTTTTCAGATGGGGAAGTGGAGCTGACAGGTCAGTGCCTTGTCTTGGGCTTCCCAGCAAGTGACGCCCAGTCGCGCAGACTGTAGGCTTGTGGCTTTTGAACAAGTTTCCTTAGTGTGCAGCCTGAGGTTCTTAAGGTCAAAAAAAAAATCCTTGCTGTAAGAAATGAGAAAGGAATTTGGGGGAAAGTTGTCTCCGTAGCAAAGATGACGCTTTAAGTCACAGCAGAGATAGATGGTGGGGACAGTGGCAGGGGCAAGGAGAACATTCAGGTTTAAAAATATTTTTAAAAATATTGAACCAGGTAAGCAGGCATCTCTGGAATCCCAAAATGCCACAGTGCCTAAACCCAGATCAGTGTGCTTCCTTGGGTCAGCAAGGTTGTCCACTCTGCCTGATCAGACATTTTTCTTGGTCTAAATTTCTTAACTAAGCATTGCGTCATTTCCTTGTTTTTAAGCATTTATTCTTTTCCTCGTTTTTAAGCATTGCCTTATTTCCTTGTTTTTGTGGGAAATCTGGAAGCGTGAATGAGCCTTACCTATGATACCTTGACCCAGTTTACCTGAATCCACCCCGTCTCTGGCCTGGGTGTTGCAGTAGCGGTGCCCTCCCGTACTCCCTGTAGCGTGTTTGTCTGAGCTCCTGCGAGCCTAGTGAGCTCCGGCGACTCCTGCGCGGCCCTCAGAGCCAAACTGTGTGTAGGTTTAGCTATGTGTTTGAAGTTCTAAAGGCATTTAGAGTGAGATGCTTTTCATTTTTTTTATGCGCTGGGCCCCGCAGAGGGGGCAGGATTTGGAATGGGGCAGGGTTGCTGTTCCTTGAGAATGGCGATAACCTTTTGGAGGGATAGGGGTGGAAAATTGTCCCCTTCTTCCCCGCTAGGTTCTTTGGCTGTTGTAATAGTTAAATTGGTGGAAGATAGATTAACAGGAGAATCATAAATTTCATTTTGTATGTATGTGAGGCCCATAAAAATATGAGACTCAAAGAAGTGAACAAAGCAAGAAGCTTTTATACCTTTTAGACAAAGAAACAGTAAGTTTGTGAAAGAGTGACAAGACAAAGGGGTTTGTGTTGGGGGTAGAAAATTGAGAAGAAGTAACAAGGTTTGTTTGTGTAACCTCTGCCCCAGATTCCCAGCCTGTGGTGGTAAGAGTGCCCTCTGCCTTCCCGGGGTAGGGAGAGTTCCTTTCACATGGATCTATCTCACAAAGGAGCGTCAGAGTGTCCTTCTCGCACTGGCTGTTTCTCAGTATCTTTAATTCAAAATAACCAATACACCAAAGAGACATTTTGGGGTGTCATATTCTGCTCCCCTTTAGAGGAAGCCAGGCCATTTTGGAGGAAGCTGCGCAATACAGAGAATACAGAGAACCACAGTGCTGTAGTGGGCAGTTTGATCCGCTGTGACAAGGATGCCCAGATCATAGCCGTGAACTGGGATAAGCTTCATGCCCAGCTGTGGCCTGCAGGGCACTCTGTCTCCCGTGGGCCAGCTCATCCTCTGTCCAGCAAGGTGCACTCTACCTGGAGGCTCAAAATTTGGTGACTCCCAGGGCTCACTCAAGTCTAAACTCATTGGCCAGGGACTAAGGTTCTGTCTAACACGCCTTTTCTTCTCCCCTCAGTGTCTTGCCTCTTGTCACCTCTTTTTGCTTTTTGTTTTCCAGGGCAGTGTCACTTTTCACAAAACCCAGGGCCCATTCCTATGGAGGATGTCAACATATAAGGCCTAGGCACTGCTAACGGTGACAGAACAGAGTTAATGCCAGGCAGGCCCATGCGAAAGGATCAGCGGAGTTGCAGACAGGCACTCCAAGAGAGTTCCCAGCCCCTGAGTCCTTCCCAGGGGGAGGCACGGGAGGTCAGTTATAAGCACCTAGACTAAGGAAGGGAACTTGTAGCAGGCAGAATGAGGGGTGCTGGGAGGGAGAGACGGACATTCTGGGTAAAAGGAGCCCCGGCTTTTTAAGAATAATGGTGACCAAAAGGGCTTTAAACATCAATATTATAAAAATAATAGTAATAATAATGATAATTTAATAAGAGTAGCAGTAGTTGATCATGTGCCAGGTTCTATGTTAAATGTGTTTCATATATTTTACTTAATTCTAACAGAAATATTGTGGACCGGGCTGGGGTGGCTCAGTGGACTGAGCGCCGGCCTGGGAACCAAAGGGTTGCAGGTTGGATTCCCAGTCAGGGCACATGTCTGGGTGGTGGGTCAGGTCCCCAGCACAG